GAATGGCTGCTCGCGATTAAGCTGGATTGGAGGTCCCTTTTCAGCGTCGACTCACTGCACAGCCTCTCCTCACCAGAGACAGATCTAGAAGCCGCTCTTCAGAAGGACCGCGCCGAGTTCAGTGACCTCTTCAAGCCGGACATCGGTCGCTATAATGTCCGAAAGGTGTCTATTGAGATGGATCCGACAGTGAAGCCGATCTTTCTCAAACACCGGCCTCCACCTTTTGCACTGCGGGAGGAGATCGAAAAGGAACTGGAGAGACAAGTCGCAGAAGGAATTCTGGAGCCAGTGAAAACCTCGCGCTGGGCTGCGCCAGTGGTGCCTGTGAAAAAGGCCAACGGTACCCTCCGGCTCTGTGGAAGCTATGACCAAACGGTTAACAAAGCCAGTCAGCTTGAAAAGTATCCGTTGCCGAGAGTCGACGAGCTGTTCGCCGCCATGGCGGGCGGCAAGATGTTTACAAAGATCGATCTCCGTGAGGCTTACTTCCAGCTAGAGCTCGATGAGGCAAGCAAAGAAGTGCTCACCATCAACACACACAAAGGGCTATTTCGTCCAAATCGGCTAGCCTTTGGCGTCAAGAGCGCCGTTTCGATCTTCCAGCGAGAAATGGAAACGTTGCTGTCGGGGATACCGAACGTAGCAGTATTCCTCGACGATATCGCTGTGACTGGCCCCAACCCAGCTGCCCACCGAGAAAATGTTCGCGAGGTGCTGCGCCGTCTCAACTCGGCAGGCCTCCGAGTCAATGAGGAGAAGTCGGTCTGGCTGGCGTCTGAGGTTAAATACCTCGGGTTCAGCATCTCAGCCGCCGGTGTGCGAACCACGGCGGAGAAAACAGCTGCTGTGCAGGAGGCCCCGGAGCCGAGAAATTTGACGGAGCTGAAGGCCTACATGGGACTTCTTCAATACTACGGTCGCTTCCTTCCCGGTCTGGCCACTGTGGCAGCCCCGTTGTATGCACTGGAACGGAAGGGAGCAGCCTGGGTCTGGGGGGCTGCTGAGCGCGCCGCCTTTCTACAGACAAAGCAGCTACTAGTCTCAGCTCCAGTGCTGACTCACTACGACCCGGCCAAACCCCTGATTCTGACCACTGACGCCAGCTCCTATGGCCTAGGAGCAGTGCTCAGCCATCCCAGCGGTGAGCATGGGGATCAGCCGATCGCGTACGCCAGTCGGACTCTGAATGATGCGGAGCGTAACTACAGCCAACTCGATAAGGAGGCCCTGGGAGTCATGTTCGGTGTTGGAAAGTTTCACCAGTACCTCTACGGCCGCCCCTTCCTGATCCGAACAGATCACAAGCCTCTGGTGGGACTACTTTCTGCCGACAAAGCCCTACCTCTCGCGGTATCTCCCAGGATCCTTCGATGGCGGCTGCTCCTGGCTGGTTATCAGTACCAGTTGCAGTATGTAGCGGGACAGAGCATTGGCAACGCTGACGGGCTCAGCCGCCTGCCACTGTCAGTCGTCCCGGCCGATGCCCCAGTGCCTGGCGACGTCGCCAACATGCTGGAAGACGTGTCTCGAGTTGTGGATGTGGACCAGATTCGTGCGAAAACGAGTCGAGATCCGGTCCTGTCCAGGGTGCTCCGGTGCCTGCAAGTCGGGTGGCCACAGACGCCTCCTGACGACGAAGGCCTGCTGCCTTTCTACCGTCGTCGGCAGGAGCTGAGCCTACAGGACGGATGTGTCCTGTGGGGCTGCAGAATGGTGATTCCGACGTCACTCCGATCTCAGGTACTCGGAGTCTTGCACGACGGCCATCCGGGCATAAACCAGATGAAGCGACTCGCTCGGAGCCACGTGTGGTGGCCCGAACTCGATATCATGATTGAAGAGTGTGTTCGTACTTGCCATCAGTGTCAGATCCATCGTGGGCTGCAGCCGGAGGTGCCAGCGCAGCCATGGACTTTCCCTCAGCGTCCGTGGCAGAGGGTGCACGTAGATTTTGCTGGCCCCGTGGAGGGAAAGCAGCTACTGGTTGTAGTTGACGCGTACTCGAAGTGGTGCGACGTGCATATCTGTGCTTCAGCGTCTTCAGCAGCGGCGATTGAGAAACTGAGGATGAGCTTCAGTACGCATGGGTTGCCGGTAATCCTGGTGTCTGACAATGGCACAGCCTTCTCGTCGTCGGAGTTTCAGACCTTCATCAAGGGAAACCGCATCGTACACAGGTTCAGCCCACCTCTTCATCCCGCCTCAAACGGCCAAGCCGAGGCGGTAGTGAAGGTGGTGAAGTCCGGCATCGCACAGCGGTCGGAGGGGAGTTTGCAGACGCGCCTGTCCCGGTTTCTGTTTAAGTACAGAAACACGCCACACTCTACTACAGGTCGTACCCCGGCTGAGCTCCTGCTGGGACGCTCGGTGAGAAGTATGATGGATCTGGTGCACCCTGATCTCACCGCAAAGGTCGAGCTTCACCAACAGACGTGGAAGGATCGTTCGGACCGGAGTGCTCGTGACCGGCACTTTCATGCTGGTGAAGAGGTATACGTCACAGCTATCCCGCAATCGCAGCAGAAGTGGGTTCCGGCGGTGGTAAGCTCGGTCGCAGGCCAGATCTGTGAGGTTCGCTTGCTGGATGGCCGAGTGTTCAAGCGTCACCGGTCTCATCTGAGAACTCGCTACGCCCCGGCTCCAGCGGACGGTGCACAGCCCAGCCACCGTCCAGAGCCGCCAACTTTAGCTGCTCAGCTGTCGCACGCTCCGGGTAGGAACACACACGCGTCGCCAACGCCGCTCGTCGTGGCGTCCTCACCGCCACCGCCACCGCTCAGGGCACCGGCGGGTCCGCCGCTTCCTGGGACACAGGTGCCGCTGCTGCCCGATACGCCAGCTCCACCGATGTGTGTGACGGCGTCGCCGTCTGCGTCTCGAGATGCCACACCATCGCCGGCTCCACAGCAGAGCGCGGTGCGCGGTGCGTCGTGTCCCTCGCCGCCGGGCTCCGAGGGGAGTGGAGCACCGGAGCCGCTGAGCCGGCCCCATCGCGTTCGTAGGGCCCCTGTGCGCCTGGATCTGTAACGTGGCTATGATTCGTGTTTGTGTTTGTTCCCTGTGGGATCAGTGTTGGAGGGTTTAGTTATCTTGTAGCTCAGAGGGAAGGAGTGTTCAGTAGTGGCTATTAGTAGCGCCGTGCTATTCAGTAGTGGCTATTAGTAGCGCCGTGCTATACCGTCGCTGCGCGGAACACTGGGCTGGAGGTCACCTCGGCCGTGAGTGCACGTGCGCGCTGAGGAATTCTTGCTTACCGCCGGAAACGGCGTCGGCCGGAGTCGGAGCCGGGGGCCGCGGAGAGTCGGGCCGTGTTGTATTTACTTGTTTGTTCCAAGGTCTAAATACAGTGTACAGACGGAACAGGTTTTGAACTGGAATAGCAGTTTTGTAGTTTGAGCTGAGACTAGCACAAATCAGAAGCTTTTATGGCCCAACGATCACTCTAACCAAAGATATTCAATTTCCCGTTCCAAAAACAGTGCCTTCGGCAGGAATTCGTGCCTTCGGCAGGAATGTGGAGAATATAGCCACCTCTCGCAGAGGCTAAACGGGTCGGGGATGAGCAAGGAATGTGTACTAGCGAGCGGACCGGGATCAACGAACCGTTGGAAGAGATCTGTATTCTAATGCTGCCTCACGCTTGCAGAACCAATTGAATGCTTGCTTCTGATTCGTTGATTTTTGGCGTTTATTGCCTTATTGCGGCTGGCAAGGTATCTGATATACCAGGGAGAACAGAAAATGTTTTGTTATCAATTTCGCTCGGCTTATTCCCCAACGGCCAGCGCTTAGATTATAATCAAAATTGAAGTAGGTTTTGTGTGCCTGCAAATGCTATAGATACATATATAGGTGCTTGCTTATTTTATCGCACCCACGATCTTCACTTATTTTGGTTGCATTCTATAGACCAATTCGGGAATTTGCTTCAAGTCTGACGAATGGCAAATCAAAAAAGGGGAGAGAGGTGCAGCTGCAGGAGCCAGGGAGACCTATTGCAATTTTGCGCTCGCAATTTTTAGGCTGCTGATAGCTGATAGGTACATGCTCAATAAGTGACTGCTAACCTATGCCTTCTGTGCCTATAGTAGGTATGTATAACTCAGCCCTTCCATTTCTTTCAGCAACAGTATTGGCATTGGATGTTGAAAATAATGTGTACCTATGATGTATGTGCATTGTGCATGTAGGTATTTTTTTAATGCGTAACTGCTGACAAGAAGCCTACTAACTGACAAGATACCGACAAAATGCCAAAGCTTTTCTGTGCTATATGTCAGGAGTGGTCTACAAAACTGCAGCGTAGATGCTTTGGGTGAGCTTTAAAAGTTGTCCCGTGGCATGTTCATCTAGAGATGTATACTTTGCTAATTTCATTACTTGTAATTTGTAATTTGGTGATGTTGTGTAATTGTGGTCAAAGGCAGGTCTCCAGAAGGTGAACGTCCGGGGCCCTGTTTCATAGGCACTAGCAGCGCGCTGCCAGCGCTTTTCGTGAGCTGACGCCATATGGTCATGTGACACTAAGGACCTTTCGTGTAATCCGTGAGCTCCTTCATAGCTGTGGTTGGAACAGAGTTGCTGTCTCGTTGAAAGCAAATGTATCAGCAACTCCATTCCATTCGCAGCTATGAAGGAGCTCACAGATGACATGAACCGTTCATAGTGTCACGAGACCATTAATAGGCATTAACCAAAACACCCCCTTCTCCATATGTGCCGACAACCTGCATGTCAATGTTCTATGCAGTTTGTGCGATATTCTTGCTCAATAATGAGCTGCGGGGCAGAGAGCTTCTTAGGAAAGCTTAGAATAATCACTTCGACCCGTCAGTGAACGCTAAAACACGGCTGACCGGGAACGCGGCGGCACGGCGCCAGCCGCCGCGTGGTGCTAGTGTGCGCGTAACTAACGGGGAGACTTCAACGCCTGGCGCCGTCCCGACGCATGTTTTTTAATCCCACCCAGAAATGACAAACAAGCTCCCTGATTGGCCAGTTGCCGGCCAGTTGGACTTGAGCGGTCGCCATGGTGGTATCGGGGACTCGGCCGGCATCGTTAGGTGTTGAATTATGTGTTTCGTTGTGCTAGATATTGCCAATTTGCTTTGATATTTGATAAATAACGTTGGCTTATTCTTTGGTGACCTTGCATACTAATACGACGATATTTTGATACCGATTATTATGCATCAAACATCATGAGACAAATGTGGCGATTTCCACACCCTTTTGCAGTGCCCCCTGACCCCTCCCCTTGTGTAGTGAGTTAACAGGCTTGTAAGAACCAAGTGAACCATTTTTTAGTCAAGTGGTCATGATCGTCCCTACATCTAATGGATAATAGTCTTGCGCAAACTTATAAAGTACTGGAGGAAGCAGAAGTTACGATTTTGGAGTACGCAAACTTGATATTAAAAAATCTCAGGTATTTTGGCTATATAAAGTGAGAAGAAAAGTTCAATTGATCATTATTTATTACAATTGCAATAATGATAATATCATGATAATTGTACTGTCAGGTAATGATAATAGTCATGTCACGTCATGCCACTAACCAGGCACACAGACACAACACATTTTCATCTTTATGTATCTAGGCATAAGGTATTACAGGCATGTTTTTGCACACCTCTCATGTGCGAGTGGGCATGGCCTCCTTCACAGTTGAGTTTTGGCTGATTGTGCTCAAATTTTGTAAGTACCTACATGTAAAGGGATGTAGATACAGTTAGTCGGGCACTCTTCTTAATTCAGTTTTGTGCACCACTTCCTGCTTTCACCATGCTGTGCCCACTCTGCTTTACAGTGGACAGCTGCTTCTGTGACACACATTAATCTTGCGTTCATTGAAACACTTAGTTTTGAGTGTTTTGACTCAGTTTTGTTGTAACTTCACCTGTGTTTATATTTTCAATAACTTGTTTTGGGCTGCTAGTTTGATTTGTTTTTGACATCAAGTAAGATTTGATTTTTGTTTCTGAGATTCCAATGTTATTTGTGGCAAATATTTTCCAAAAATCCTCCATCTAAAGCTTCAACTGAATTCTAAAATGCCTGCATTTTCTACCAGAAACATTATCATTGATACCTCCTACAATATTTCATTTTGTCACCAGGTACCTGGACTGGTGAAAAGTGAAAACTGAAATTCATTCATGTCACCATTATCCTACGACCTACCCCTAAATGGAATTGATCTTGTTTCACAAATGAGTTGTACATTGTACAATGTCTATCAGCTGATGTCTATTGTCTATCTCTCTTTCAGCACAGAAGATCCTCAGTCATAGTTAACAAAATGGAAAAAAATTAGCTGTGTTTTTAAGATTCCAGTGGTGGCCATCAACTGCTCAGGAAAGCAGCCCAGAATCACTTCACAACAGGTATGTTGATGCATGTACATTGTACATTAACATCAATGTCTGAATGCTGAAGAATTGTTGAACAGGGAACACATTTACCTAGCCTCTAAAGACCACAAATCCTACATTACTTACATAAACATTTTTCTATAGAACTTATATTATCTACTTTCATCTGGCTAAGACTTTTTTACATTATATTCCCTCTGTTAAACATGAAAATATGATGAGTTATAGACTAGTATAACAAGCTGGTAATTATATCTGCCTTGTCAGCTTGGCCAACATCTGCATCATGTCTATCACAAAATATGACTGCTTTCCTGACATTTGCATTTGTTCCACTCACCAATTGGCCACTTCTACCATCTGCTTGCTCTATGCACAGACATTGTCATAGGGTCTGCTCCTGTCGCACTTCCTAACACCTCTTAACTCCTCCAAGATTGCTTCCCTGTTCCAGTGGCAGCTTTCGCCCCTACAAAGCCAAGAAGGGCCCTGCTCCAACCTCCTCTATCTTGCTCTTTGAGGAGTTTAGATGTGTTAGGAAGTGCGACTGGAACAGACCCATAGCAAAACAGTTTCATCTCCCTGAGTCTGTACTGTCTTTTTCCAGGTTTCCAAAGGATCATCATTCATCAGCACAGAAGGGTGGGAAAGAGAAGGCTGTTCAAATTCTGAAAAGCCAGAGCTGCAAAGGAGGTCAAAGATGCAGTGCAGTTGGCCCACTCAGTAGAGTTTCACTAGTGGTTCTGATGTGGACTGAAGATTACACGCTGGATTGAAGTGGCCGGTCTGGAGCAGCTGTAGTTCATCATTCTTGCTGATTGTGGACGAGTAAGAGCCCTTGTTGGCCCCGATCGGCGATCGCTGGCCAAAGCCCACCACCAGTTTGGTGATAGGCGTTGGCTGTGATATCTAGTGTCGCCTATGTGTGAAAAGGACAAGTTGATAACAAAACCTGTTGCGCCATGTTATTAACCCGCGCCCGGGTGGCCCTCAGCCAACTGGTGGGGGGGGGGGGGGGGGGGAGGTGTATTCGGCCACACCAGGTTATCTTGGAATGTAGCAAAGCTGGAAAGACGCAGTAAAATCAATCTATAGACCGCTATTTTTCTTCGGAATCATACAGGTCATTTTTGATCAGGTCATCGCTGAGGTCACTGGAGGTCTCCAAAAGTAAAATGATGACGAATTTTGGCCCCCGATTTTGACAACTTCACAAATTGGTTCATAATTCGGGAACCAAAGAAGCTACAGCGCCGCGGAAAAGGGAATTCGATAGCTCTTTCGAAAATCTTTCAGGTTCTCAGATTTGAGCTAAGGTCAACTAGGGTTAAGCCTCCAAAGGGCAAAAACTGAACAATCGGCTTGCTTCGGAAGTCGTCTTTTCTTTAAAAAATTTTTAAACTGATACCAACCTTTTATTACGTTGATTTTACCGGCACTGCGTTTCTCTCGTCTTCTTGGCCTAACAAGGTCAGCTTAATAAATTTGACCTCAGGTCAATGTCGCAGAAAATGCCATTTTGCATGTCATTGATTCGTTACATTGAAATTGAGATTAACATCAGTAGCGGCGGAACACCTTCAATTAAGGGGGCATTGCCGACTTTGGTCTCATTCTTTCCATGCAACGGCCATAGGGCTAATGTTAAAATGCCAAAATCAAAGGGGGCACGGTGCCTCGGTGCCCTCGGCCTGTTCCGCCGCCTATGATTATGATGCTTTTAGCGCTCTGGCCACGTTCCATCTAAAATCGATGTACAAAAATAAACTGTTGGGAGGCGTTACATGACCTGAGATGACCTCAGGAGCATACGATAGATCCCGATGTTTGAGTGCTTTTGTTTCAAAAGCAGAACATTTCGATTTCGAGTTCCTCATACTGACTGAAACTGGAGACGTCGCAAAGTTGACCTGACCCTAGGTCACCACCGATATCAAAATTAAAGATATTCAAGATGTTGGTACTGATTCTCTCATGCAATAGCTCGAGTTTCAAACTTCTACTTCATGGTGACCTGACCTGACCTTAGGTGATATGGGGTTACTTTTTTCACAATTGATGCGAATCGATGCATTATACATAAGCTATACTAAGTTTCGTGTCGTTTTATCTATGCAAGCACAAAATTGTCAGGTGTGGCCAAAAACGCCTCCACGGCCCACCCACCTGGGGAACGTTAAAGCAGTGATGTATTTTTTTCGGTGTATTCCACGATGCATCGATCGGTGTACTTGATAATGCATTATTTATTGCTGCGTGTGTACGCTTTTCCTCTGTTCAGTGTGATCTGTGATAGGAAAACTACCGATATATCTCCACGTGCATGACTGAAAGAGCTGGCGTGATCTATAATATTGGGTGTCTGTTTTTGCTTGGCATTTTATAAATAATGAGTCAGCTGTGATCGTTTGATGAGACACTGGGACAGCCGGCCTGTATGATCAGCGAACGGCAGGCGGCGGGGCAGTGGTCCGGTGGCTGCTGCATGGGACTGACACCAGCAGATTCAGAGCTGCGATACGCGGACGTTATGTTCACAATACCTTTGCAAAGTAATATCTGATAGATATCATGTCCTCGAAAATGTTCTTCAATCAATATGATTTTACCTCCTGGCTTATTCCATGGGGGCCGAAACCGATCGTTTTATGCACGCCTTTTCTGGGCCTCGTTCTCCTCTAAATGCATGTAGGTAGCAATTTTATTCAAGGGACGATTGAAAGTGCCTCCGATTGGTTTTCAGCGTAGGTGGGATATGGCCGTTGAATGTGAGGCAGTCGATAAGGAACGTCGAGCTGGAACGGTCATTGGGTAGGTACTAGGTAAGGTATGTGAAAGGCAGCAGTGGAAAACAAGGAAGGGAGGCGTTTGGTGTGAGGTTTCAAATGCTCTATGCATAAGAAAAGTTCATTTGATCATATGACACCGTCCTTTTTATCGCGATACGTGAGCAACGCATGAGACGCTCACTGTTCAGACTTGTAGCGTTAGAGACAGGCTGAAGTGAGAAGGGCTATTTCCGCGAAAGGATATTCTGGAATTTGAATTGAAAGGCATTTAGTTTTGAAAGCATCAGTACTTCTTAACACGATACTGACTCATTTAAAATTTCAATTTTTCCCCATTGCGATAGCATAAGAAACAGAGACTGCGGTGTCCCCGTACGCAGGATTCTGGAGACTGTCAGGCGGATGTTAGTAGCTAAAAGCTTTTGTTCTTTATTTAACAGATAACAATCATTTCTTTAAATACTTTGTAACGCCTAACTCACTAGAAACAATCTGTACGGGCTTCCAAAAGTGTTATATTTAACATGTTAGATCAATTACAATATTTTAGCTGCCCTAACCTGTAAATGTAACGGATGCGTCATTATTGAAAACGTGCTAAAGCATAGTATTCTATTGCTGACAAATATTCTGCGTCTGTCAGCCAAAACTGGCCAATCAGAGGCCTTGTTTGTCATTTCTGGGTGGGATTAATAAACATGCCGTCCCGACAGGCTTCCGTTCAACCGCTCGCAGCAGGCTAGGTTTTCGTCCCAGATTTTTTTTTATTGGTATCCTACGGCTTCAAACATGCCAGGGACCAATAAAATTTAGTAGTGAAGACGATTTAAAAAAATCAAAATTCGACGATACACCCTACCACACAGCCCGAGGGGCGCATTCATCAATGTGACTGTACAGAGCTCAATGATACACACTGTTAATAGGTACTTACCGCAAAAAATATGTAAAAGAAGTAAAGCTATTCTCCGATCTTAAATCAAAAGAAATAGCAAGTTATTAAGACATGAATATTTGTATGTTGGTGACCTGTATGTTGGAGGTTGGAGGATGGCCTAGGGCCGAAAATTTGTGCACAACTTCTCTTCGTCGTCTTCTCTCATCATCGTCGACTACAGCATCGTCTTCAACATCATCTGGAGGTCAGTCTGGTTTCTTCGTCTTTACACTAGTGCTTATGGTCACCAACATACAAATATTCAAGTAGAAAGAATGCCCTACATCCAAGAGGCGTTCCGACAATTAAACAAAGTTATTAAGACATTCTTGTTTACTACACTTAACTGCAATATCATTTGAATCGAAAAGGTTTCATCAGAGACACGCACCACACTTAACGCTAGATTACGCACCTGTGACCTCGAACTGGTAGACGGCCTGCGTGCTCTTGACGATGTCCTCGCTCAGGAAGCCCTCGATCTTGGTGAAGAGGTCGGCGATCGGCCCGCCGCCGGCAGCAGCGCCCTCTGACGGCTTATCGCCTCCCTGGCGGCGCGGCGGTCAGTGAAACACGGCCCGGAGAGTGGATAAATTTTCAAAAGGACTGGCCAGTGGCTATCAAATTGAACAATTTTCTTCCCATCAAATTACTATATGGTTCACTTCCAGGTTTATCCCAACCCTATTCAAACATTACTTTCGAACAGTGTCTCCACCGCTTCCACTCCAACAGTAACATCATCATCTCCCAAAGTTAGCATAGTGACTGACTGTAAAGCGACTGTACCAAACCATTTATCTCCGGCAAGTCAGTGTTGAACGTACCAGTGCGTCGAACTTGGGCTTGCCACCCTGCTGGATGAAGGTCTCCTTCACTCCTGCGCTGAGAGCTTCGTCCAGGAAAAAGTCGGGCAGCAGGGTGGCCTCTGCGGGCACACGTCAACTGCGGTCAGCGATAGGACACTGGGGGAGGGGGGGGGGGGTAGTAACAAACCCGACGTTCTGCCACACCTGCACAATCCTATCAGCCAGTATCTAACATACCACACTCGATCGCACTCTATCCTCATCACCCCCGCTAAGTACCAAAAATCCAGCCTCCATCGCCCCACTCAGAATATCCCAGCTTATCACCCAGCGTTCCGACTCAATATACCTCAGCTCAGCCTGAAACAACCGTCCCCCAGTCTGGCTCTATTCCAGCATGCTTATCAGCCCTCCCAGCTCAGTACATCCCAGCCCTTCACTCTTCTTTCCCCTGACTCACTAGGATCGACGGCATACTGGACCAGGTAGGTGGCGCTCACACATTAATTCCCAACACCACCCCTCCCAAGACTCACTAGGATCGACGGCATACTGGGCCAGGTCGGTGACACCCACGTCACGCAGCACCTCGTCGTCCACGGCAAAGTTGCCCGTGTAGTTGCGACTGTCCTTGGTGAGGATGACGTACGCGGCGTCCGCCATGATCTCCGGTTTTCGGCACTGCCGGTCCACGTCGCTACCACCCAGCATCTTCATGGCGGCAGTGATAATGGCTGAAAGGACAGGGGAAAGGGGTGATTCGAGTGTCATGGGTGGTCTAGGATTAGAGGTTAGGGGTGGGCCGAGTCATAGGTCCGGAGAAATAAGTTACCCGTGTTGTCGCCATATTGTCGGCTCCAAACATTCAAGAATAGTGGATACCGTCTACTGGCTCCAAATACATCGGAAAATATTTAGCAATTAAGTTTTTAGTCAACGAGCCCAGGCATCACGACTACGGTCCCTCCCTAGCCAGTAAATTTGCGATACACTTTGACCTCAGTCGCCGCATAACGCACACCGGGTCCCGGGAGGCCATGGAGGAGCCCACATAGCCTCCACATCTTTTACCCTGAATCCACCCTCCCTCATCATCCCTAATCCTACTCCCCCTCTCCATCACTCACCAGTGCGCGGCCACAGGGCGTTGACAGCAATCCCGTGCGGCTTCAGCTCCTCCGCCATGCCCAGTACGCACATGGACATGCCGTACTTGGCCATGGTGTAGGCCACGTGGTCGCGGAACCAGCGGGGGTTCATGTTCAGCGGCGGGCTGATGTTGAGGATGTGCGGGTTCTGGCCCTGCTTCAGGTACGGGATGCATGCCTTCGACCTGGCCCGGGGAAGATACGGTCAACCATCAGGCGTAAATGTGCGATATTAGCCTGTGAGGGTGCGCAGATTCACAGGATGACGATGAGCAGGCTAGTAACATAGCTGTTCTGACTTCTTACAATTACGCTTGATGGCGAGAAACAGCGAGTTTTTTTTTAGCGAGGAATAGAACTTAGCACGTTGAGAATAAACAGAACCTAATCGGTATACAGCTCGTATCCTCTGGCCTTTGCATTCTCTTAAGTCGAAAGCCCATTCGCATTCCACAGTCCGGTCACAAATCAAGACTTACTGCCCGGCGTCGACAGCAACCTATCGCTGCTAGTTGCCCGGCCCCTGTGTCACTCACACTAGATAGGTTCCCCTCGTGTTGATGGTGTGCATCAGGTCAAACTTCTTCATGCTCGTCTCCAGCGTGCCGGTGAGGCTGATGGCCGAGGCGTTGTTGACGACGACGTCGATGCCGCCGAACGTCTTGACGACCTCCTGGACGGCTCCCTGGACGGCCGACTCGTCCCGAACGTCGACCACGCAGGGCAGCGCCTGGCCGCCGGCGGCCTCAACTGGCGGACACAGACGCAGGACAGACGTTAGGGAGAGGCTGGAAACAGGGCGAGGGCGCGGAGAGAGGAACAAAGAAAAATCAGGAGGACTATAATTATTTTGTCTGAAGATAATTATGCAGGTCATTTGGGTAAGGCAAGAAATCTCGCTAAAAAAGTCGGGGATGAGGGTATCTTCCGGATAATTTTTTTTAATTATAATTAATAAACACTTAATTCACAAGATGATTCACTGTTTCCAACCAGTCATGAAGTAATGGAGCTAAACTCTTGTCCCGTGGTATGAAATGAATGATGTAACGAATACGCTATGAAAAGTAGGTAATGGTTGCCACGGGACCCACGCGACATGGCGACATGATGCCGTATCCTCGACAGATGGCAGTCGACTAGGGGCTCCACCCAGCGATTCAACCGGGCACTGAGCCAGCGCCAACTTCAATGCAATGCGGTTAGGAATGACAGCTGTCATACATGAAGCGAGGATAATGTGCCGAGAAGGACCGCATAAACATCCGCCGGTACGACAGAGTAGCCAGGAGCCCAGCCCGTCCTAATGCAGGGTTAGCTAGAATATCTGGCATATTTGAATGAAAAAAGGCCTGGAGGATTATGTAACCTTTAGAGAGCGATACATGCGACCTGCTTTTGCCAGGAAAGTTGCACAATTATCACGAACAGCTAGGTATTATGATTTATAAAAACAGCAGCTATGAAGGGCGTCGGAATGAGGCTGCGTCCGTATAATACGGCTAGCTTAATTCGATATCGCTCGACCTTTGACCACCGTGGTATTTATGGAAGGAATATGCCTAATCATGCTAGTTACGCCAGGTTTGTATATTTACTCCCACAGAAGCCAGAGATCGCACACTACCCAAAAATCTCAGTGTCCAGTCTCTACAAATCTAGCTGGGTAATCGGGGTTAAAGGACGCGTTGCCCCTCCTGATCGAATAATTA